TTTCAAGATTATGTAGCGACTCAAGATAACCATATAATTGCTTTATCGGAGACGTGGTTAAATTCAAATATCTGTGATAATGCTTATAATATCGATGGCTATAGGTTTGTTAGGAAGGATCGCGAAGGAAGGGTTGGAGGTGGGTTAGGTATTTATGTGAGAAATACCCTAAATTTTACAATAATTGAGACAGAAAGTAATATTTACTTTGAGCAACTGTGGTTAATGCTAACAATTCGTAATAGTCGAGTTGCAGTTGGAGTTATATACAGAGCTAACCGTTTGTATTTTCCAGAATTTTGCGACACGTTGGAGGATACCTTTTCTTTGATGGTTCCTGCCTGCGAGCATCTAATATGTGTTGGTGATTTTAACATAAATTTATTGGATGAGAGCGCTCAATCTCTAAAGTTTTTAGATTTGCTAAATACCTATGGTTGTATGCAGGTAATCACAGAGCCTACTATGGTGACAGAAAAAAAGGGCACTCTTATTGACTTTATTATCCTCTCTAATCCGGATCTTTTAAAGGAGTGCGGTGTTTTGCCTATGGATGCGGTTTCAGATCATTCACTCGTTTGGTGTACGTTATCATGTAACCATCTCACGAAGCAAAGCACATATAAAGTATATCGCGACTTTAAACATTTTAAATATGATGAATTCGTTGCAGAATTACAGGTCTTGCCTTGGTATCGTTTGTTCAATTTAAGAAATGTGGAATGTAAAGTACGTTTTTTAAGCGATAACCTTTTATATCTATTTAATAAATATGCTATTAAGAAAGTCCGACTTACTAGACCAAAAACACCTTGGCTGACAGACTATATACAAGCCCTTATGCATTCAAAAGATAAAAGTCTGTCGAAGTTCAAAAATGACAAAAATACTAGCTCTTGGAATGAATACAAGCGACTTCGTAACTTATGCACTAATGCTGTTAGACAATCTAAGCGTCACTATTTCCACACGTTTGCGACCGGGCAAAATAAAAACGATTTATGGAAGGTACTGAGAGACATGAACATTTTCCCAAACAAAACAAATTATTTGCTTTCTGACTTTAATGACCCTGATCTTATTAATGACCATTTTTGTGACTCTATTACCGCTCATAAAATTTCACCTGATCCAGAATTGTTAAATTTTTATAATACAAATTGTAAACTCAAGGACTTAAATCCTTTTAGCTTCACTCTCATTAGTGAATCGGATATTGCTATGATACTCTCAAAAATTACGACAAACTCTGTAGGCGCTGACGGGGTGAGTAATTCAATGATTACTGTTTGTCTGCCCTTTCTGTCGCCTTATCTACTGCATGTGGTTAATTGCTGCCTTGAGACAAACTATTTTTCTAATGCTTGGAAAGTAGCACACGTGATTCCTTTACCTAAAAGTAAAAATGTTCGCACATTACAAGATCTCAGACCTATAAGCATTCTACCAGTGTTATCCAAATTGCTAGAAAGAGCAATGGAAATACAAATCAGGAAATTTTTGGATGAAAACGACATTTTACCGCCTATGCAGTCGGGCTTTAGGACTGGATATAGTTGTTCTACAGCGTTGTCATGCATTGTGGACGATATCATTACAGCAACCGATAACAATATGCTCACTGTTAATGTCCTGGTAGATTATTCTAAGGCATTCGACATGTTGGATCACGAATTGCTAATTTCAATCTTACATTTTTTGGTTTTAGTAAAGACGCGTTGGAATTAGTAACTAGCTTTTTAACAGATAGAACTCAAAGAGTAAAAATTCAAGACTCACTGTCGTCAGAAAGGAAAATATATTCGGGGGTTCCACAGGGCTCCATACTCGGCCCTTTATTTTACACTATGTACACTGCTAACTTACCAAATTGCATAAATACATGCAAACATCACCTATATGCAGATGACACACAATTATATCTCTCATTTCCACCTTCTGACGTAGATCTTGCTTTAAATAAACTTACCAGAGATTTAAATAACTTATTTGAGACATCCACAAAATACTCCCTGATTATTAATCCGTCTAAATCTGTAGCGCTGGTGTTCGGAAAGGCTCACCACCGAAACAATGTTCAGCAGCAGATTTATCTAAATGTTGGCAATCACGTCATTCCAATAAAAACGGAACACAAGAACTTAGGACTAATCATGGATAGCGATCTTCGTTTTAAAAGTCATATAAACCTATGCATTCAGCGCGCTTTCAGCAGTCTAAAATCTTTGTATATCCACAGATACAACTTTAACTTTGATACCAAAGTAAAACTAATGAATGTGCTAGTTCTATCTCATTTTAATTATGCAGATTGTGTGTATGGACCTTGCTTGGATGGAACCAGCAGGAAAAGACTACAACGAGTGCAAAATTCTTGTCTACGGTTCATTTTCGGCTTGAGAAAATTTGATCATGTCTCCCATAAGATGTCTGAAATAAAGTGGTTGAATATGGAAAATCGCCGTTCCCTTCACTTTTTGTATATGTGTCATCAAATCGTTTTAACTCATAAACCACAGTATCTTTATAATAAAATTACTTTCCGTACAGACGTACACCATCTCAATTTACGTAACAAAGGACTTATGACTATTCCAGCTCATAGGTATCATCTTTTCGAAGGGTGTTTTTCTTATCAAATTGCAAAACAATACAACTCGTTGCCAGCTTTTATCAAAAATCTTTCCTTGAAGCCTTTTAAAACACAAACGCGACTTTTACTTTATAGAAGTCAAATCCAATGTTAACCAGTTCTTTTAACACTTTAAGTTTTTTTTAATTGTGTTTCTACATTATTATTAGTTTCATTTTCACATTTTTTTAACGAACGCAGGTATACCGTTTTATTTAAAAGAAACATCACTCATTTCGCCATAAAAAAATGAAGTGTATATTGGGGTAAAGTGGAAGAGCAGACCAATTAGTCTGAACTTCACCCTTTCACTATTATATATTTGATATATCGTTACGCCTTATTTTTCATTTTTGTGTTGTTACTTTTGTATATAATATGTGAATAAAGGTCATTATTATTATTATTATTATTAAAAGTTTACGAACACCATAAAGGGAACAAAACCTTTTCCAATATGTCCCTATTTATTCGGTAGATCCTGGCCACTTCAAACGACACCACCCGTAGGCCTGCAAGGAATAGACTTAATGTTGATCGAAACGTTTTCTTATGCAGGATGAAAATTAATCCGTACCTTCTGTGATGTTCCCAATGGATAATCAGGCTCCTTTTCCCCAATACCACCATATAAAGATTCAGATGATGACGACCCCAAAGACATAGAGATAGCACGCATTCCCACGGGGACCTCACTGGAACAGCTGAAATATCCTCCAAATATAGCATCGACACAACCAAAGACACTAGAAAGTTTCTCGCCTTTTTGTAGAAGCGGATGGCACAAATTAACTTCTCTAACTCGTTTTACTGCAATCTCGGGTACCAAAAAAACTACCGCGTGGTTCCAAAAATCCACAAATCGACGGAGTTAAATGGCTGGATTAAAAAAATACTGTGGAAAAAAAATCGTAGCTTTAAAAAAACACAGAAAATGGTTTTATTAATAATTGCTGTATGACCAATTTGAACCGAGTTGTGGCTTGTTAAAGGTTAGCTCTTGTTCGTCAAACGCTAAATTAGAGAGTTTCATAGTCAAATATTGGCAAAACTATGCATTTTTCGAGAAAGGAATATTTTTTAAAGTATTTAAAAAAACCTTCCTTCTTTTTTAAAAACAAACTTCAATATAAAAGGTAAGTGAGTTACGATGAAAATAAGGTAGATCCGTACTTTTTCCAGCAAAAAAATCAGCGCAAGCAACCCTCTAATTGCCACCCTAAGTAAAATGAGCCCTTCCCCTTTTCCAGTTTTCTTTAATTACGTATTATTAATACCTTCTAAGTGTAGCCATGTTTAGAAAACTTAATTTTGAAATAATTGAAGTGAAACTACAAACAACACAACAAAGCAACTAGAGATACGTAAAAAATGCTACAGCATCCAATTGTAGCTTTTTTAATTCCAAACATTTTCCTCACCGGCAATTTTCTGTACGACAAAAATTAAGTGAGATATAGACGTTTAAACGTGCAATCATAGGCGAGCACTACCTTGTTTTAGCCCTTTAAGCTCACTCTAATTTTAAAATAATGGTTTTAAATGGAATTGATGTAAATTTTTTAATGCACTTTATGTCATAAAAAATAGAAGAGTTATAAACTGAACTGAACAACCATCGTCAATAGATAATAAAATATTAACTTTTTGAGGGTAAATATATTTTTTATTAAACCACAATATGGGTTTTGGCAAAAAGGAGTAGTTTTCACCCCTAAAAAAATGAAGAGCGCCTATCGGAATAATATAGATTTTGAAGTGGAGGGTAAGTTGAACTTAATCCCAAATTTTCATGCAAATCGATGCATTTTGAAAAAATTGCCAGGCTTTATACTATTTTAAGTTTCGTTTCCTGGGCTACTTGGGGCAGTTGATATTACTCAAGTGTTGCTCAAAATAAACAATAACAATACCATCACTTATATTATAAAATGGAATTATGCAATCCATTTCAGCTAACATTGCATTGTGCAATTTAACAAAACTTTTCAGCTAGTAATGTAATTTTTGCATATAATGACACTATCCTATGTTGTTTAATCAATTTAGATTCACTTTTTGGGTGAATAGTGGTGCTTATTACACTCACTCGTTTATGGATTTACTAATCTCCTTCTCTGTAATCTTTAAGAGTTGAGTTAATCTTGCAGAAGATTTAAATTGAGCGAGCAATGTCATTCTAATGTCACTAAAAAAATTGCAATTAATACTCAAGGCTTTGTTTGCTGCGTTGTGGGCCGAATATGCTTAGTTAGTCTGTAACAGTTAATAAAAACACAATTTGCACACAAAGGGCGAAATTAAACTCACGAACTATTTCCCTAATTGCTTGGTTAGCGTTAGGCAATAGGACAGTTGATTCCATAACATGCCGTTCGAAATAATCGATCATGTTGTTTTCTACGGATCGATGGCTTTCAGCTTGGGTATCGGGGTGTACTTCGGTTTTTGGAAGAAATCCCACACCTCCGATGGTTACCTCTTGGCCAATCGACAGATGAAGGTTATACCCATAACGATCTCAATGGTTGCGAGGTAACTCTAAATTATGCCGGGGGTCATAATTCTACTTCTGTTCAAGCTCAATTTCAGGGATAACGTTGCTTGGATACAGTGGCGAGGTTTACGTGTATGGAGCCAACATTGTATGGATGTGTCTCAGCTGTGTGGTGGCGAGCGTTATTGGGGGATGCATGTTCGTACCAGTTCTGACCAAATTAAAGTCTCCAAACGTTTTTAAATATTTCGAGTTAAGGTTTGATAGAAGAACTAAGATACTGGCGTCCTGTGCGTACACATTGTACGTTTTGTTCTTTAGTTCAGTTGTGGCATACGCACCGGCAATTGCATTTTCCCAAGGTGTTTCTTTGCCAAACAGTATTGGAATTAACATTATTATATTTCAGTAACTGCTGTGCACCCACAAATTGTGGCGTCCCTTGTTTGCGTTGTTTGTGTGTTCTACACGAGCGTTGGGGGATTTAGAGCAGTGGTGTGGACTGATGTGTTTCAGTTTTTTGGAATAATCGCGGGTGTTATCGTCGTAGCCGTGCTGGGAATAGCCTCCGTAGGCGGTGTGGGAGCTGTCATAGAAAAAGCATCAAACGGACATAGACTGAATTTTAAGTATTAATAACCTAGTCTATATCTAACCTCCGCTTTAAGTTTTAGCATAGATCCTACCCAAAGGGACGGATTTTGGCAAATGTTGCTTGGTAGTACGACGACATGGATTTTCATTCTATCTTTGCAACCTGGGACTGTACAAAAATATTTATCACTGTCGACATCTAAGAATGTGACAAGGTGAACATTGAAACAAATCACATTTTCTAATCGTATTATATAGAGTAATGGTTCTCCAATGCTTTGGGATCGCAACGATATCCTTCGTGAGTATTTTTATGGGACTCGTTGTGTATGCAAAGTACGACGGCTGTGATCCTCTCACGACCGGTGAAGTTGCACGCTCTGATCAAATTCTACCCTATTTCCTAATAGATGTTGTTCGAGATATTCCTGGGTTGTCTGGTATTTTTATTGCGGGACTCTTTAGTGCCTCACTTAGGTAAAATACAAACAACTAAAAACATTTCTTTAGTGGTGTCGTAGTACACTTTCTGCAACATTCAATGCATTAGCAGCGACTGTATATGGAGACCTGATGTCCTTGCATGTCTTTCGAGTTGTACTGAAGGACAAGGAAAGTTTGATTTTAAAATTGATAGTCTTGGGATCCGGTGGAATCTGTACGGGTTTGACGTTTGTTGTTCAGCATATGGGAGGCATTGTACCGTTTGGCATGGTCATCGCGGGGCTGCTACAGGGAATATTTTGTGGATTATTTTCTCTAGGGATGATCTTCCCTAGAGCGAACTCAAAGGCAGGTACTGGGCAAAATGCTGTATATTAAAAAAGCTCTTATAGGGCGCTTTTTATGGAGTCATTTCAACTTTTTTGGGAGTTGGTACAATAATCGCAGTAAACCAATGGTATACTTTACAAGGAGCAGGCAGAAACTTTGCAAAACCAATGTCAGTAGCAAATTGCTCCACTCCTGTTAACATCACCCTGTCCAGGTAAGGTCAAGGGTGTTTCCTTGTATTTAAATCAATAAATTACAGAACACAGGCAGAATACGAGCCATTTGTACTTTTTCGGATCTCTTTGTGGTACAACCCGGTTATGGGTTTTTTAATGGTAGTCGTGGTTGGCATGTTAGTCAGCTATTGTACTAAACCAGACGTCTATGATCCAAATATTCTTAGTCCCATATACCGAAAGACTTGCACCAATCCAAAGCTTTCACAAAAATACTCCGCCGGGATGAATAGCAATCATATAGGGACTTATAATTTTGAACGTAATTTTTAGAATATAAACATCTTGTAAAATTGAGTATATTAGAAGAAACTTTATCTGACACTTTGGACCTTTCCTCTAGGATTTTTAAGAAAAGAACGACTATATCAATGCAGAACAATTAAAAGAGGACCTTAATCATAAATAGTGTTAAACTAGAAACTAATGGAGAAAAACTCCGTCAAATGGTCCATACTTCATAAAATTAAGATTTATTTCTCACCTTATACAATAGTTGAAAGGTTTTTGTGTATTAGTTTCTAATTTAACACCATATATGTTTAAGGTAGTAAGGAAGAGGAAAAAATAAACAAATAAAAATCTTTTTCGCTCGCTTTCTGTAAATACAAAGATTTCTTGGTATTGTACCTATTCTCTGCTTGAAGTTTCCACAATCGCGTGTAATTTAGGGTATCGTTCAGACCTGTTTCATTTCTTAATCGCAGTATTGCTTGAAGTTGTCAATGAATGCACTAAATTTCATATGTGTTAGCATTATGTAAGACTTATTCCGTAATCCACGAGTCTTATATTCTTAATAATAGGCTTTACTGGGTTTGGATTTTTTACCTACCGACTTTTCCTCTGCTTCTGCAACAAGCCATAGAATGGATGGCGTTTGTTTCCTTTATTTTTAAGTTATATTATAGCAGGTACAATAAAAATATAAGAAACACATGTATAATTGGCTCTGGTACGCGTCGTGCTATTAAATTCGTTGAGTTTACTTTATAGATACTTGTCTCATAATATACTGTTATGAAATAGTATGTCGTTTCTATCCTTCTTGACATAATAATTTGGGAATTCTGTTTTTGGCAATCGGAAATTCGAAAGTTTAATTAGAGCTCTTAGACAATTTTATAATGGTCCCAAAAGTTCAGTAACCCAAAATCAATTTAATAATAATAATAATAATAATAATAATAATCTTTAATTCTAAAAATTGTAAATAACAATTACAGAAACGTCAAATCACAAACAAAACATGTATGGACAACAGAAAATATGTGGACTAACAATTCAGGTGCATCCAGTCATTAGGTTTTTATTACCTAGAGATATATAATCAACAAATTCATTTACTGAATAGAAAGAATTATTTTGTAATATCTGTTTCGTTCTATTTTTGAAAAGGGAGTGGTTCATTTTTTTTAGAGTTTCAGGCAGATTATTAAATAATACTGAACCGGTGTAAAACGGAGATTTTTTATAAAATGAATGTTGGTGTTTTGGAATCAAGATTTTATTTTTACCTCTGGTGTTGTGATCGTGAATTTGACTTATTTTGTTAAATTTGTGTCGGTTTTTATGAAGATAAATAAGTAATTTAAAGATATATATACAAGGCAGTGGCATTATTTTATGATTTTTGAAAGTGTCCCGACATGTTTGAGCGTAATTAAGATGAATCGTATTATACGTTTCTGTTTCAAATAAAGGGGTTCCAATACTATGCGAAACATCTTAGACATCTATATCAACGGTTTTAAATGAACATTTACTTAATGAAATGCCAATTTTAATATCTACCAATTTTAAGTTAAAGACTACAATCAATTATTTAGAAGGAATTGGCGCAATTTTTGGTGTGTACTGATTAGTATCCATGATATTATCATAGACAACCAAATCATGGGAAATGGATTAACATTTGTCTTTTTTATTGAAGCTTCACGTAAATAAATTTGTCTTCTAATCTGTTTCATGGGACATTCGATTTACTTTCTATCATTGTATGCAATTTAATTTTCCTATTATTAACGTTATTGATGATTGAAAGGCATCTACGTATTCTCGCATATACTATACTATTTTTTATTGCATATAGGTACCTTCTGCAATACGTAAATTTGAATGGCGATCAATAACTTTTTTGATGAGATTATGATTCGGCTCGAAGGACCATGAGAAGACTAGATTTAGTCTATACGCCTTCTTCAGTAGGTAAAACGGTAATGAACTGAACCGTTCGATTTAACAATATTGCGGTTCATATATCTCGCTTTAACTGGAACCATGGTGATTATTATACACTATGACCGGAACAAACCCAAGACAACGTAAACATATTTGTTATTAACATGAAGGTCCAAAAAGAGAATTTATTCCCAAATAACACGAGTACGTACCTACATTGCAAATACATAGTACCTACGTACAGCGCTGGATTTTCGGATGTACATTTCACGTACACTTAAGGCGAGGCTTTACCTAGCGAAACCGGGCTTATTTCATGCAATAGTTTTTCCGTTTTTTCTATCTTGGTAAAGCAGATAGAGCTGTGCTGTTTTCTTTGTTTCAAAGAAGAAAGTTGAATAATTGTCTATTACTTTGCAGAATTCAAAAATTTTAATTAATTTTTCTGTAATTAATTCCCAAAAAGAGTCAAAAAGAGCAATTTTCAAACACGTATATCTACGCTTCTAAGCGTCGTATCAAAAAAATTCAAAGTAAAGGAAACTTGTACATGTTTGAACTCACTCCTTGTAAATTATGTTGGCAATTAGTGGATTATCGACTGTAAAAAATTGGAAATTCGATGATAGTGTAATGCCAATTTCGTAGGCCGGAAAGCGTTCAGTACGCGTCCCCACTCCATAGCCGTCACGTTCGGCTTTGTCCTCGGCATATCCCCACGCGCTATCGTTTCTACCGTGGGCCGTGGCATTACCTACTAAATAAATTCGAATAAATGATTTACGTGGTAATGGCCGTGGTTACTGATGTTACGATCCACAAAATGAGTAGTACCATTGAGTAATTATCCCTAATCCTTCACTCAACGGTAGTATTGAAATCGTCTTGCGATACCTAAATATATGAGTAGGTACTGCAAAAGTCTAGATACTTACTCATATCGTTACTTTTTGGAGATTATTTATACTTACCTTTATAGCCACATTTTTAGAATACCTATACCTATGTGACCATTTTTGTGTGTCTAATCTTATCGCCTGTTACCAGGGGGTTACGGGGAAACCCGAAACTATGAATGTGATGCGTTTGCGACTTTTGCAAGTTAGCTTTTGCTTTGGAATCAAAATTTAACATCACGTAGGGGCGTACACGGTTTGTTAGACTTTAGCTACTTTCGATTCGATACAAGCACATTTTATCGCATTTTTTAAGAATTAAAAAATTGTGCTATTGTTTGCGTTTTGTCCGTCCGTCCGGACCAGGTCCGGACCCACTTCTGCCCTTTCTAACTAGGGGAATGGTCCTAGAGTCCTGGAATTTTTTGCAGTAGGTAGCCTATACCTCGAAGGTGTGCCAGACCGCCATCAAATTTCGCTTTCTAAAAGCCCCCCCCCCCCCCCGAATTATTTCCTGAGATGCTGTTTTTGAAAGTAAAACGTGCATAACTTTTACATACCAATTGGTGTCAGATTTTGCATACGCATGCCTTTAGTGGTGCTAAGTTAAAGTTTAGAAAATAGGTAGGAGGGGGGGGGCACATGTTCTACCCTTCATGGTATTTTAATGAAAGGTCTCATCGAAATAAATTGGTTTGTACAAACTATAACTTTCCCGTGCGACTTTTTTTTCGAAATCAGTGAGCGGCGGGGCCTGAGGGGGGGGGGGATAAAAATTAGGTTTATCTCTCATTGTATTCTAACTAAAGGTCTCAACGAAAGGAACCGTTTTCTACCAACTACTGCCCTTCTTTCGGTCCTCTAATCAAACTCTTATAGGGTGCTTTTTATGGAGCCGTTTCAACTTTTTTGGGAGTTGGTACAATTATCGCAGTAAACCAATGGTATACTTTAC